TTTTTTTTTTTTTAAATAACGTCCTCTGATTTATATTACAAAACCCCAGTACCATAGCTATTTAGCATGGGCGTATCTTCAAGGTCTCAACAGAAAGCACCAGAGAAAACCAAATGTTGCAGACAAAACTAAAGACGAGAAAGCTGTCTGGTATTTTTTTTCTAAAAGGTCAAGTACAGCACATGACGTATCTATTGTTATTAGACAAACTCCCAAAAGTAACATCTGTGGTGGGAGCTGTGAAGACTGAGCACATGCAAATAGAGCAGGACCCAAACCTACTGAGACACAACAACACAGATGGCTGCTTTTTACCCAGCTGGCATCGAGACATATGGAAACACAGATCATTAGTGAGATAATAAGTGCATGACAATGTTAACAAAGGTAAGTCATTGTTAAATGCTAACACTCAGTGCCAAAAAAAAAAAAAAAAAAAAAGTAAACTTCGAGGTGAACGTTTAGTACGGATCAAAACACTGCTCAAGAATTCAAGCACTGCACTAAATGATATTTGGATATTGACAATGAATAAAGTCAATATGTGTAATGTAAAAAGGATGCTGATGGTGAAAAAACACCTCCAATCAGTGCTGCAGAGTATTTTATAGGAGCAAAATAATGGTGTCACCGTTATCATCATTGCTTAGTTGAAAGAGTTCCGATAAACCAAATGCAACTGCCCAGTACCAAACATTACCAATACATAGTGACCAGCTGGAAAAATCCATCCAAAATCCATCTATACACCACTTAATCCTCACTAGCGTTGCTGGGGAGCTGGAGGCCTTCCCAGCTGACACCCTGGACAGGTCACCAGTCTATCACAGGGCTACACATAGAGACAGACAACCAAGCACACTCACATTCACACCTACAGACAATTTAGAATCACCAGCTAATGTCCGCATGTTTTTTGGACTGTGGGAGGAAGCCGGAGAACCCGGAGAAAGCCCACGCTGCACGGGGAGAACATGCAAACTCCACGCAGAAAGATCCCTAACCGGGGATCTTCTAGCTGAGAGGTGATGGTGCTAACCACCGAGCCACCAGCGCCCCAGCTGGAAAACATAGTGGGGAATTTAACTGCGAAAGAGCCACTTCTGTCAAAGGTCTGTGGAGACCAAAACAGAACCAAAAGGAGGTAACTGCACCACTTAGTACAACATTTTTATACAGCGATAATACAGAATGTTTGGGTTCACAGCTCATTCTGCTACCTCCAACTGGCCAAAGTAAATAAATAAGTAATGCTGCTTTCAAAAAGGATATATAGCTTCAAATAATAGATTATTTTTGAAAATGTATGCATATTATATGATGTCCTACTATGTAGAGTTGCTTGTTTGTTTACTGTCATTGTAGTAACCGTTGGGTTTTAGTCAACACTCATCCAAAGCATTGCTTATATTAACAATATCGACTCCTGAGAGCATAGGTAAGTTTTCTATCAAATCATAGCCTCAGCTCAAAAGTCTGTTTGATGTATGTTCAGAGTTTGATGGTGAAAGACTGTTTTTAGAATCATCTGCTGAAAGTCTCTGAGCTCATCTGACCTTACACCTGGTGTGGAATCAAATCCTGGGCTAATAGCAAACTGACACAAAGCAGATGTTTAAACATGAAGCCTTCATTGCACATACAAGGAGAATGGTCATTTGACAATCCAGGAGAAATCTTGTATCCAGTAGTTAAACTCCAAGTGAAAAACATTAGCCTATTCATGGATACTGGATATGAGGGAAGAGGTGTCGATTTTATTTTAAGGATATCTAACCAGGCAATTTAACTTTTTCTCGAAAAACCAAATCAGATACACCTTATTATTAAAGCAGAATATTTGTATATATCTTTGGCCATGCCCAAAGGGGATGTTTACGCTTTAATTTCCCCACACTTGATAATGAAATTTCATATTCACATAACGTTTCACTGCATACATTAGCTGCTATGTATCTCATCTGCTTCTCAAGTTATTCAGGACATTAAGCCCTATGGCAAAAATAAATAAATACAGTTCTCCAAAAAATACTACAGGAGCTGGTACACATACAGACAGGTAAAAAAAAAATAAAGGGAAGACCGAGACCTTTGATCCCTCCAGTGAGGGGATCAGGTGGCTCTCTTATGCTGTGAGGCACATTTTGCTAGCATGGTTTGGGTTCACGCATTCACTAAGAGGGAACGATCGCTCCAAATCAATCCAAACCTCTCAGTGATCACCTTTATCCTAAGATGAAACATTTCTATCTTGATAGGAGTCGTGTCTTCCAGGATGCACATGCTCCCATCCACGGGGCGCAAGGAGTCACTGAATGGTTCGATGAGTGTGAAAATGATATGAATCATAGACTATAGCCTTCACAGTTACCAGAGCTCAACTCATCTGAACAGATTTTGTGTGAGACATCAAATCACCAAAATAGGGATTATCTTCTGGAAAAATAGTGTTCTTGGAGAATCAATAACAAGGAGCACTGAAGACGTTTGGCAGCATGTGGTGGCCCAATACCTTACACTTTATATTGTTTTTTCCTTTCATTTGTCACCCGTCTAAATATATGTCTAATATGGATAGAGGCTCACACAAATATACACTAATAAATAAACTGCAATGTGTGGCGCTGTAATCAATATGTCTTGTAGGTCATCAAGTTGGGAAAATTGGCTTCAGGCATACAGTTTTTGTTTTGGAGAATGCCAGTAATGGAGTAGAGAGTGGAATCAGCAAAAAAATTGAACACAGCATGAGAGACTAATCACAGCATGACTTGAGTCCACGGGGAGTAACCAGACTCTCTTGGCATCGACTTTTAGAGCGGCAAAACAGAAACCACAAATAAAGTCCTGGGCAGGCAAATATTTTAGAGGAAAAACTAAAGGTTTGGTAGTTGATGAATTCAAGTGTGCATGTGGCATGGGCTAAACTAGCAGACTAGAAAAGGACATGACAAAAACACAGATGGACAAACAGACCAAGACACACACACACACACACACACACACACACGGACACACATTCCAACACTAAACAGAAGTAAACTCACAGTGCAATGAATCAAGCAGCAGCACTGGCAGCCATGGAGTCCCAGTTGGTGAAGCAGAGGAACACCTACTGCTGGAACCTGCAGATGACAGGGAGACAGAAGGCAGGGAAAGACAAGATAAACAGAACGCATGAGGAAAAAGAATAAAGAGGGAGGGTGAAAGAAAGAGAACGAAAAGAAGATGGAGAAAGAGAAGAGGAGAAAGCATTTTGTTATTTTGCCTGAAGCAGACCTCTGCACATCATGGCTTATTTTTAGAGCAAATCATTGTTCTGGTACGCTGCAACCGAAAAGATATTAGATTTACTGCAACACTGATCACCCAGGCAAAGTCATCTAAAAGCCATAGACACTTTATTACACAAATGAATACAACTTGATGCATATGAAAACTCTTGAGCTTCAAGTAGCCTTGAGGTCTTGTTCTTAGGAACAATATTTTTTACTCTCATCCAACAGTAAGACAAATATCAATTACAGTTTTTCTTAAATTAACCTTCCTGGCAAACAGTACGAGATGGCTGGTCCAAAACTTTGCTGTGGGCAGTAAACAAAGCTGATTTATTGGAGTTGTTTCATAAAAGTACGTCTGAAATTGCATATGTTGTACACATGTGGACACACGTGGCTTCTAATGGTGTAAAGAGTGTTTCCAGGGTGAACTACTTTACCAAGATTTGTGGGAAAATTACATTCCAGTGAGCAGCTCTACAGCAGCTGTGTTATTACAAAACTATCAGCTCTAGGGACACATTTAACATCCAAGGAATGCTGTCTTCGTCTTCTGTGCAGAAGTAATTAAAAATATGTATTCAATTATTTTTTAGTAAACTCTGCGTGCTTTGAACTTTAGCTAAATTCTGAATTTGTGACTGTTTTTAGAAGGCACAAGTGTGTCACATTTTACACAGTTAAATACATGCGCAATGCTCAAGTGAGCAGCACGTGAGCATCTTTCCTGTGCTCGTATCCAGTGTGCTGAAAATAAACTGGACAGTAACAGTTCTGCTAATCCAGTTGGTGGATTTAATGCCAACTGTGAAGGGAAGGCATATTTTTTTCTGTCAGTGAATTGAAATTGCTCAGCCCATTTGTGAATTCTATCCCCTTTCTGCTGTAGGATCAGTTCGAGGTGTTCTATTGGACACAAAATAGGTGGCTCCAGGAGTGTTGCTATGCAACCAAGGAAAATTTCAGAAAATAATGCAAAACCATCCCCCCATATTAAGGATTCTATCTTTAAAAAAACACTCTGCATTAATGCTCCCAAGGACGAAGCATCTTGTTGGGGAATAAAAATAACCACAGTCATCTCAGGAGCCTTGGATTTTTTTTTTTTTCCATGAACCCATTTATTTGCTTTAGAATGGAAAAATGATCTGTCAAAATGGGAATAAGGAGAGAAATCCTTGGAAGTTTTGTTGTGATAAAACATTTGGTACTTCAGTCAGCAAATATATAAATAAATGGGGTTTTGCTTCAAAAGTGTACCTTTGTGTTCAAGCTTCCGCCGGTTCATCTCGGTTAGGTTTGGGCTATGATTACTGTTTTCTCACCAACGTAATTGCAGAGATCTCAAGATGTGGCGATATTGCTGCACTGGAGTCTAGTAGGGCAAATAACACCGGCATTGTTTTTGTTTGTTTGTAAACCTTTATCTTATATGAACAGTGAAGGGAGGGGGAATCGGGAAAGGGAGCGGGGGAATCACGTGCAGCAAATGGTTGGGAATCAAACCTGGCTTGAGGTTTCGTTTCCTAACCACTCAGATTGTGGGTCAGCCAAACACCAGCAAATTCTTTGAGCTTAAATTTCAATACGCACACTTTTTTGAAAAGCAGCGGCAAAAACAATAACTGGAACCTTTGCAAACATTCATGAAGAGTGACGACATGGTCCAGATTTATCAAGTACTACAGTTAGGATCCTGAATTAACTGAATCAGTATGCTGATTCCAAACAAATGTTTTACTAGTTAGTTTGATGAGTAAAGCAACAGACAAAATACTGTCATACGAATATTATTAAAATCACACCAAGACCAGTGCAGGGATGGAACTTTCAGTCACGAGACATCTCTACTACTACTACTAATAGGAGCTACTGTCACCATTTGTGGTTCTGGGACCCTATTAATAGCTAATAGCTCACTAGTTATGTCAAGAGTGCATGTAAAGCAGCGAAAGGGCTAACAGGCACGCCCCAGACAGTTTAAAGTTCAGGAAGAGCATTTATAACGCCGAAGAAAGTTTATGCTCTGTTTTTGTATTGGTATTTAAAAACAGCAGAATGGCACTTGCTCTATCCAGTAGCGCCCTCCCACACACTCTGAGAGCTACACACACCCGAGAGCTGCCAACAGACCCATAAACCCACCTCCAGTTGACCTACGAATGTCAGCTGGAGTCACTTGCTAAACGGCCCAGACAATGTAGGACAGAAGCACAACTACTGAATAACTGTTTTGTTTTGTTTTTTTTGTTTAGTTCCTCTGCCAAATGTCAGAATGTTGATACTGGCAGCCTGGCTGTCATAAACAGGATTATCAAACCTTCAGTTTCTGTGTTGGAGCGTTCCTCCACAGAAGCAGCTACATATCAGCAAAACAACATGTTTGTTTTGCACATTTTGTAGATCTCAATCAAAGTGTGTCTGCAGGTGCCATTACACGCATGTCCCTGCCTCTGTCAACCCTGCTGACCACAATCCCTCCCTCGTACCTCATAAACAACAGCTGGTTCCAGGAGTCTATTTGCTACCTGCAAATTCCCTTCCACAGGACTCACAGTTCTAGCATACTATTGGTTTGTCTCCTCTGAGGGGTGCACTTCCAGGGACACTATGAGCATGTGTTGCTGCCTTCACACTATAATAACAGTTTGAGATTTTGGCTAGCACGCTTTGTGGTCCACAGGCTTTTAATTGACTGTCTGAGTGCCTTCTTTCAAAGCATTACTAGGTTGAAAAGAAATGCACTGATTAATGATTACTATGCCTGTGTGTCTAAAAGGTATATTCAATATCTAGTGCATGGAGGGAAATTAAACTTGCAGCTGGTCTTAGATCTCCAACTCCTGCTGTTTGTTTTCTGCAAAGAAGTTGATGAACATCTCTAGTATCACCCATAACAAAAGCATCAATTAATTATTTGTTGAAAGGCCAAAAGATGCTCAATCAACTAGACTCAAACATACTTGGATTGAAACACAATCCTAACTACTGTATATTCCTGGGGAGAAATATTGTATAGGATGGTCATTGCATGGTCCAGCATCAGAATAATTATCCCCGATTTGCATCTTTGTACTTGTTGTAGAAGCTTTTCATCTGACCTGCCAGATCACCTCCACCTCCCTGCGCCAATGACCAGCTCCTGCAAGTGCAATTTGCTGACTCACTCTCATTAACACTGACTGCAGAGAGACTGAGTTAATAGCTTACAGCTGAATCACGCAAAACCCTGCAGGACAACAGCGTGATGACAGGAAATTCAAAAAATAAAAACAAAAAATGTGAATTAAAAGGAGACTGTTCTGGACAAACACTATTTCTTTTAAGTCATTTATACTCAGTTAATACCTACTTGAAGTCAGTACTAAGATATAACGACTGTAAAATCCAACAATTCATCACTCGCATGCTGTCGCGCAAAGCAAACCAAGTAACCATGTGCACTAAGCTGAACAGTGGTCACATATATTTCTTGAAGGATAGTCAATGGAGGTAGCTACACAACATAGATAGATAACTTTATTGTCATTCAAGCACATATGCATAAAAAAAAAAAAAAAAAGAGTACACGAGAACGAAATTTTGTTGCATAATGCTCTCAGCGACAGTTAAAAAAATAAAATCATAAGCCATAAAAGTGCTTTCGACTGCATACAATAAACACGATTATGACGACGATAAACATGATGACGATTGTCAACTTTTTCTGTCTTGCTCAATGTCATTGCAGCAGCGCCATATGACCCAGTGGCCTAGTTTTGTTAAGAAAACGGCCCAAAACAACACTAAACCCGACGTACAAAGCTGCCATTTGTCTCTCCAGGTTTAACAGTTGTTCTCCACTAAATTTAAGGGATTGCAACATAAGCCTGTCTTAAAATGTAAGGCCTATGTTTTGCTTAAATATAGTGTGTTCAATATAGTATAAGTCTGTGGTTAAGTACAAAGACATACAGGAAGCTTTTACACAACAACATGGCACAGCGGAAGACCACAGACAAATCATCGCTTAAAATCCGGTGCTTAGTGGCAGAGTCAACGCCACACAGACACGGAGATTGCGACAGACACTAAACAAACAGGTCAGTATTACTGGAAGCTTCATTAATCTGCACATGCAGTCCATCCTAGTAAGCAGAACGGTTTGTATGGTAGCCTGCATAGTATTTTTATTTTTTTTTTTTTAAACCATTGCTTTCTGTCATTCTGCCCTGTCTTGGCTTTGTCTCTTTAACAACCATCTCCAAACTCTGCACCTACAGTGACAGGCAGGGTGCTCATGGTGTTGAGCGGGGCTTCACAGTGACAACTACCACTGCTGCTCCTCATTTAAGAGACAGGTAACACAAACAAGTGAGGCAGAGTTGAGGGGAAAAAAAAGACAATCATTGGTAGTCAGCATGCAAGAAAAGATAAACAAGCAGATATGCAGAATTTAAGTTTGCACATTCTGTGTGCTGCAAGTTTGTGAGCGAGCAGATTTTACTACAAACAAAAAGAAAAAGAAAAAGAACGTTATTTAGTGTACCAGCAATTATTTGAAGCAGTCAGCAGTTTCTGCATTTGCATGTACACACGTGGACAAAATTGTTGGTACCCCTCGGTTAATGAAAGAAAATTAATAATAAATAAAACTTCAATGAAAATTAAGCAATGAAAATGACACAATGCTTTTGAACCATGGTTCAATAGAATTATTTTAAAAATAAACTTGTTTATTTGTTTATTTAGACGGGACAGTGCGCATTAATGAACGTACAATCTCAGGTTGCAGTAAATACGCCGGATTTAGCACAAAGCTAATTTCCATCCAGTGTCCCACACACACAAAAGAAACATGAAACAGG